CGAGAATGGAACGCTCGCTGAGCAAGGCAGCATGCCCTCCTGAAGTCTTGCCAGGCTGAGGAGAGCAGAGAGGAGGACAACTCATCGTGCGGCCCTTGCCATCGTCTACAGCCAAATCCTCCACAACCCATCGCACCTTGCCAGCCGTACTCTAAGGCCGCTTGTGGAGGTCAGCAACATGCCTGACCTCACCTCCAGGGGCCTGGGCCTTGCAGCTGCAGTGGCTTGCACCCGTCATCACCAAAGAAGCGTGCTACATCGTGCCACGTGTTAATGCTTTAGGAAGATTACAGTGGGTTCAGGATCAAATGATAGCCCTACGATTGCCCTTGCATTTCTTGGTGTGGCAGAACGGAAGTCTATATTTCATGTACCGATCTGCGTCAAGTCTCCAGCTTGTCTGTACTCAAAATCTTTCAGGTCTGAATCTGGATTAGCAGGTGGGCAAGGGTCAGCGCAAGTTGCTGACGAGCTTGACAAGCGCGTGCGGACCAAGGTAAGAACCCTTTGCAGTACTTTCCAGATCTCTTCAATCCAACGCTGAAGACGCTGCCGGACCCGCTTCTTTGTTAAGTTGTCTGCACATCTGATCTGTTATGGTCTTGGTCCATGTCTTGCCACGGAGCCCGTGCCACACACGCAATTGTGAGACTGCGCTGTGGGGCTAGCCCCTAAGTGCTGCAAATGCTTGGCAGGACTTCAACAAAGAGACGGGCGGGGAGTCTGTCCTGAAAGCTTGGAACAAGCCTGGCAAGGCGGGCATCAAAGGCATCAGGTGCTGCAGCGTGGCTGAGCCGATGTTGCAGTTGCAGGTGGGAGCCATCCTGCTGCAACTACAGAACAAGGCAGCAAGCATGGATCTGGGCTTGAATCCTCGGAGGAAATGTGCGTCTGGCCATGACATGTGCAAGTCGTATGTACACACTGTGGAAGCGATGTGAAGCCTTTTCTGTAGGCAGATTCCGACTGCAAATACCTACTTTGACAATCCATAATTCACCAGCAGCTCTTTTGCCAGCTGCTTCCCAATCCTTGTTGTTTGGTTATCCTTCTTCAGTAGAGCGAACAGAATTTCAAAGCACCTCATCTCAAACCTTCATGTTGCGGTGAACCATTGGAACTGATTGAACTGGCCACTCTGGAGGCCTTGGCGGTCAGCGCCGCGCGAACTCTGAATGGCTTGGAGTTCTTGGGTTATCAGCTCAAGGCCCCCAAGAACCGTGCGAGACTCTCAGCAAATCGCGTACCGATGCCGCTTGGCTTGCTGTGCAGGTGCACGGCATCCCAAAGCCAGAGGCCTGCAAAGGGACTGGGTTGGTGAAACATCTAGAAAGCTATTCCTACCGCATGAAGTTGTGATAGGCAGATGGTCTTCTACACAGCGCGCCCTGAGGCGGAACTGCCAGGCATTTTAATTATCGGAAGCTCACAGGAGTTGCCACTAGTTGATACGCGACAGCCATACTGGCCGCCACCAGCAAAAGTGTAAAGGCACTACTTGGGATGCTGTGCTGCGACATGTGAGACACGTTATACCAAGAGCTACCAGCCGGAAGCTTCAACCAGATAGGATTTGAGACTCACTTGCACGCTCCCAAAATTCTTATGATTGACATGGTTGTTCGTGACATGGCTGAGTCATGTCAAATACGTCAGTCGCGTAGCAGCTTTAAAGCGGCGGAAAAGGATGCTATTCTTCCTGCGAACGCATGTCTTGTGCAGTCTGTATGTCGTTGCAGATTAGCTTGACCAACTTCTTCACGTCATTGTGGGCAAAGTGCGACTGCGCAAGACTACTGCATATCCGCTCAACATGCTCCGGGCAACATGTTTGCATGGGGCAGCATATGCGGTTCCGGAGCACCTTCACCCCAGAAAGGGTGTACATAAAGCGTAATTAGCTCAGGGAAGCACGATCCCTTGGACAGCTCCCTCTGACTTCTTGAGGTCTATGCGGGACACGCTTGATTCTGTGCTGCGAGCTGCTTCACCGGCTCGAAACTTGGGCCTTTGGTGAAGAGCAGTGCGAAGGACGATTCCTCCGAAAGCCTGCAAGGTGGCTCGGGACTTGCACTGGCACAATTCTGGCACATGTCTCCTCATGGTACTGAAACAGCATGGTCGATGAAGGGGTTCATGCCGCCCGTTGTTGCGGGTAGCTGGCGGTCCGCTGTGTAATCCGTGACATCCGTGCTGCAGGAGCTGAGTCAGTTGACTAGCCAGCATGGCTGATGGGGGAGAAGCGGCGCCGGCCGCGGCCCCCGAAGCGGCTCCGCCTGCCGGGGTTCCAAGACAACCTAGCGGGAGGGAACACGTCCAAAAGTGCATTTCTGTGTATCATGGAATTTGTCAGAGCCATGCGTCAGGATGCTGGAGAGGCGCCTGAGAGAACGCCAAGTTTGCGCGGGTGGCCAATCGGCATGTTTCCCGATTTCTGCAGCCATTCTTGTGTGTCAATCGCTGTAGCACAAACGTGCTCCCCAGTACTCTGCAGCCCTCCTGCACTGACTCCACTCCTACACTCCCCTCAAGTTGTGGCACAGGTGCTGCTCATGTGCAACATGCTGATCCTGCAACTGATGCTGCTGATATAATCGAAGTTATTCCGAATTGGATCTGTGCTTGTGTTGTGACGCTCAAGCATGACAGGGCTGCGACTGGGAGTCTGGGAAAGCTGGTGCGCCGCCTTCAATTTGAGAACTAGACTGTCTCCGTGGGTAGGATCCTATCCAGCTAGCTTCGGTTGTTCAACCTGCCAGCTCGTATGAGCTGCACTGCTTCTCGGTCCAACAGAATCCGCTTCTGTAGAGCACTTTGATTGAGTGTTTGTGCTAGATATGCAGCCGGGGCGAGAACCCAAATTACCACCGCAAGAGGAAAGGAAGTTGGTAAATGCAAACATGCTTTTCAAAGCAGGTTCAGAGAGTGCCTTCTTTGCATCTGCTCTGCTGCGCAGAGCAAGCTCTACAACAAGGAGAAGCTCATGAAGCTCCGCAACTACTCATGGTCTATGCCTGAAGTTGCGGCTTTTCTTGGCTGTTGCTACCTGTAGCTTACTTCAGCTACTTCCACTACGGCTTGGAGGTTGCACAACATCCTTTTATTAGTAGTATTTGACGTCGTCATCGTCGTCCTCGTCGCGGTCGTAGAAATAGCGGCATGGTAGTCGTCGGCATCGGCATCATCGGCGGCGACATCGTCGGCGGCGTCGGCGTCGGCGTCGGCGGCGTTGTCGGCGTCGTCGACATCGTAGTCGTCGTCGTAGTAGTGGTAGCAGTAGCAGCAGCAGTAGCAGAAGCAGTAGCAGTAGCAGCAGTAGTAGTAGGAGGAGTAGTAGTAGTGGTAGTAG